TATGATTATTTCATGTCTTATACTTGCAGTTGTCTCCCATCACCCACATTTCTGTTATTTATCCCCTTCAGGGGGTGGAGCTTGTAATGGGTTTCCCCCTAAAAAGAATCTTGTGGGACCCCATTACTGAATACAGGAAAATGATGTAGCTAGTACGTGGTCAATGCTGGTCAGCACGGTCTACTTCCCCTGCTTGAAGGGCAGGACGAGAGTGACACTCACAGGGGTGTTTGAGAGAGCCCAGCTTTGTCAATTAAGAGGCTCCTTTAGAGCAGTGTTTCCCAAACTGGGAGATGCACCCCACCACCACCCCTCGCTCCTGGGAGGGGGATGGCGCTGGCATGATTTTGCAGCCCCGGACAGGGCTGCCAACGCAGACACTTACACTTTATTCTGGATGCTGGGCTCTTGTTGCCAGGAGGGCTCTCAGTAATTTTTTTTTTTCCTGAAAGGGAGGAGGTAGGCTGAACAAGTTTGGGAACCTACGCTGGGATCAGAAGTGGAGAATTTAGGGCCCCAAGGCCCTGTTAAGGCCCGAGAAATCATCAATACCAGTTAGCATCACTCAAACTCAATTCATCGCCGTGGAGCTGACTGGGACTCCCAGCGATCCTCCACAACAGGGCGGAGCTGTCGCTGGGGGTTACAGAAACGGCCGCTTTTATGGGAGTAGAAAGGCCTGTCTTTCTCCTGAGAGGCAGGAGGGTTCAAAACTGCTGGCTGACTCGTGATTACTGCACCACCAGGGCTCAACCAGGTAACATCACCCGAGAGAAGTAGCTGTGACCATCGCCGTAACTCAAAAACAAACAATAAAACAAAAGAGAAACCTCACTGTCGGGAAGCCGATTTAGATCACAGTGACCCTAGAGGATAGAGGAGAATTGTCCCTGTGAGTTCCCAAGACTGTGACTCTAGGGGGTTAGAAAACCTAGTCTTTCTCCCACAGAGCAGCTGGTGGTTTCGAACTGCTGACCTTGCAGTTAGCAGCCCGTTGCATAATCACGATTCCATCCGGGTTTGCCGTGATGTTAAAGAAACAAACCGCAAACTCACTGCCATCGAGGCAATACTGACTCACAGCCACCCTGTTGGTCAGGACGGAACGGCCCCGGCGAGTTTCCAAGGCTGCGACTTTTTAAGAGCACAGAAAAATCTCGTCTTTTTTCCTCAGAGCCGTGGGTGGTTTCAAACTGCTGACCTTGGGGCTCCGCAGCCCAATTGTGCAACCGCTATGGCTTCAGGAGGGGCTCCTTCCGTCATCCCATTAGGGGTGAGTTAATTAAATGTTTGACCAGTACGGCCCAAGAATGTTATCCTATCCCAGTAGCATAGCCCAAAGGACCCAGCCCAGGACGTGAGAAAGGTCACCATCCAGAGAAGTGGCCGACGAAGGGGAGGCCACTGATGGAGAGAAGCAGCGGGGCTCTTCTGGAAGCACATCGATTCCGGCCATTGTAATCGCCGTGGCGGCAACAGGGGGCTCAAGCGTAAGAACAAGTGAGGACGCTGGCTGCGCCCAGGACCGGCCTGGACGGCACTTGACACCTGAGGGGGAAAGGCTGACCACGCCCCCAAAGGTGTGCCAGCAGTCAGCTGACTCCTGGAATCCCATTCTAGCACCTTCCAGCCAGCTGGGAGTACAAGTTCAAATCAGTATGGATCTGACAATGAGAAATGTAGCCCGGCCACTTGGCATTGAAGAACTTCCAAAGAAAATAACAATTAGGAGTACGAAAACCACAGGTGGAAAGTTTAACTACACCTGCTTACCCAACGCGTTCCCAAGAGGATTTGTTTGGAATTCGAAGAACTTCAGAGCATGAATGCCCATGACCAGGGTTCGTTATTCCAGATAGAATGATCTGACAGTAGAACTGTGGGCAGGAGTTTAATGATCTGACAGTAGAACAGTGGGCAGGAGTTTGACGTGATGTTCAGGGCAGCGAAACAAACAACATCACAATGTTAGACTTAAAAACAAAAGCTAAACTCACTGCCATTGAGTCAGTTCCAAGTCTTAGCAAGCCTAGAGGTCAGAGTAGAACTGACCCTTTGGGGTTTGGAGACTAAATCTTTTTTCCCCCAATTATTTTATTGGGGGCTTGTACAACTCTTATCACAATCCTTCCATTCATCCATTGTGTCAAGCACATTTGTACAGTTGTTGCCATCGTCATCATCTTCAAAACATTTGAGCCCTTGGTATCGGCGTCCCCTTTGCTTCCCAGAGACTACTCTTTATGGGAGTGGACAGCCTCATTTTGCTCCTTCGGGGCAGCGGGTGGGTTCACACTGCTGACTTTCCAGTTAACAGTCCACTGTGTCACCCACTACACCACCAGGGCTCCTTACAATAAAGGGTTCTGGATTTGTAAGCTTTTATGTCTTATAAACATGCATTCACCCCCCACCTCTACGCTTAATATAGAGAGCTTTAGTTGTGGCTATCCGTAATTTAACACACCACCTATATTTTTCATCACTAAGTTTACGTGCTTTGACGATTTCAAACCCCCCAAATCTCATTGCCCTGGACTCTTAGCGACCCTATAGGACAGCTAGAATGGCCACTGTGAGTTTCTGAAGCTGTAGATCTTCATGGGAGTAGAAAGTCTTGCCTTTTTCCCATGGAGCGGATGGTGTGCTTGAACTACTGAGCTTATGATTAGCAGTTCAGAATGGACTCCAACAGTAGTCGCCATGATTTAGGTTTGAATGTTTATGATAGTTTTCATTTTAACTTTGCTGAGAGGGTTTATTTTCTTCTTTGAGTTCACCCTAAACTTATGGAGTATTCCCCCTTGTTTAAAGCATGGGGTGGTGGTTATGCGCTGAGCTGTGATCCGCATGGTCAGCAGTTCAAAACCATCAGCAGCTCCTCGGGAGACAGACTGGGCTTTCTACTCCCCTGAAACAATGGGTCTCAGAAACCCACAGGGAGTCACTAGGAGTCAGCATTGACTCAATGGCAGTGCCTTTGAGAGCGTTTTAAGCAGTTCATTCTATCTCCGTGCTGCCCAGACTTCCTCTCCATTTACACCCTCTCCATTCCCTCTTACTGCTCGGTCGCTGTCATCCTTTGCAAATTAACATATCCCTATGTTCAATCTCACAGCTTGATTTTACTGTTTGATATTTCTAAGTCCTGGTTGATTTTTCTGGGCAATGCTATCTTGTGTCTTAATCGCTGGCTTTCATCTGCTACAGCGAATTAGATACCACGCCCATTCCCAGCCTCAGCTCGCTTTCTTTCATCTCGGTGGAAAGCCCAGGGCTCTGAAAGCCCACCGTGGATGGGGCCCAACTACCAGTGAGGGGCCCAGCTCTGCAGAAGGCATCCCCTTTGTTTCCGCCTGTGGGCCCGGCATCAAACACCATGCAGGACAAGCTGCTCTACAAAGCGGCTGTGTCCCTGGAGAAAAGAACTCCCTTGAAAAGTCACGTGAAAGAAACATCGCTTGTTCCTTCTCTCTCGGGAAGCCTTAGATGCTGTATTCAGAACAAAGAGATCCCTCAACTCTGCTCCACGGGGAACATCTTCCGAAGCTCAGGAAATTAAGAGCAGGGCAGAAGGCTGAGAAAGAGGAGAGACTCCGGAGAAAACCCAAGATCAGTAAAACAGACCCTGCTATCCAACGACTCCCACCCCCACCCCCGGCCTGCTAAGAAACAGTGTTTGAAGCATGTATATTTGAAGTGCTTCTGGGAGCAATGTATGCATGCCTCGAGAGGTCAACACAAGTACTTGGATTGTCCAAAAAGCCGTTCACAATCCTGATCCGGGGAGGAGCTACTTTCTATCTTGATTTAAGAGGCTGCTACTCCCCTCGTGACCCCTGGGCCAGCCATGGCGAGCATTCACTTTAAGAGTAAGAAGGCCTGGCGACGACTCATTGTCATCTACCGCGTCGCTGCCAGCTCCTAGTGACCCTACAGGACAGAGTAGAATGGCCCCTGTGGATTTCCGAGACTGTAATTGCTAACGGGAGTAGAAAGTTCCGTCTTTCTCCCGAGGAGCGGCTGGTGGTTTCGAACTGCTGACTTTGTGGTTATCAACCCAACTCGTAGGGCTCCTAAAGATGAGCAGCAGCACTGGCATTTTAGGTTATCACTGCGCTTCCCAGGAATCTCTTTTTAATTCATGCAAAGGACGTTTACAAATCTCATTGAGATTTTATGAAACCCTCACTCCACGCCAGGGAACCACTCTTGCCTCGCGGCGGGCGAGCCTGCACTGGGTTCCGAGACTGAAACTCTTTATAGGAGCAGAAACCCTCATCTTTCTCCCCTGGGGCGACTGGTGGGTTTCAAACTGCCGACCTTGCAGTTAGCAGCCCACTATACTCACCACCAGGACTCCTTAAGAGACCCTATAAACACGAAAACCAAATCACCAGTTGTCCCCTCTGACTGAGGGTGGCCCCATGAGTGGAACCGAGCTCCGAAGAGCATGCAATGACTGATCTTCTTTTTTGGAAGTAGGTCCCCGAGCCTTTCTAGGTGGACTTGAACCCCCAACCTTTTGGAAAGCCTCTGAGCACAGGAACCATTTACACCACCCAGAGACTAGGGCAAAACTTGCAACGTACTGATTCTACCAATTCAGTAACAAAATCCTGAATTTGTTGGATTCTGGATCCTAGAACCCCCCCCCTCCCCCAAACTCACTGCCACTGAGTCACAGCGACCCGACAGCACAGGGTACTTTCTGTGAGTTTCTGAGACTAACACTTTATAGGTGTAGAAAGCCTCGTCTTTCTCCTGTTGACCGGCTGGTGGTTTCAAACTGTCACCCTTGCCCTTAACAGCCTAACCTGCAACAACTATGCCACCTGTCAAAATAGATGTGATGAGAAAATTGTGTCCCCTTTGGCCAAAATGCCCTACAAAGCCAAGAAGCCTTTCATAATATCCAGAGAGCCAAGGGTACTGGAGAGATCGTTCAAAAGGATGCATTCTGAAACAGGTCCCCCACGGGGCAGGCATTCCGCACCTACCTTTGACAACTCCATGCCGGGGCCACACTCTTTGCAGGGCACGCAGTTTCCAGACCGATCCCGAAATTCCTGTTGTCGGCAGTCTCCTGTCTCACCAATCACTTTACAGGACTGGGGGGAAAAACACATTGTACAAAATGTGATCCTGAAACACTTCATTATGATTAACTTTTTTCAAGAAAGGGATACTGTATCCTTCGTGTGAAGTACATGGGAATTTATGCATGAGTCGGCTGTTGCTGAGAACTGCGGGCCAGACCACATGTGCAAGGAAGAATGGCTCTAAAGTAAGGTGACCAGATGTTCCGCTTTGGGTGGGACAGTCCCGATTTGGGGCGTTTTAAAAAAGTCCTGATTTTTGAAAAGAATGCACCACAATCTAAGGAACGATCTATTTGGTCCATATAGACCACATTTTTAATCAAGAACACCCCCCACCCCCCACCGTCCACGGTGTCCCGCTTTAAAACTGGTCTCCTTACTCTAAAGGGCTTTCAAGGTTGTGACCTTCAGGGAGAAGCAGATCGCCAGGCCTCTCTGCCGAGGCGTGCGGGTGAGTTGGAACCGCCAGGCTGTTGGCTGGCTGTGGAGCGCTTTATCATTTCCAACGCTCAGGAACCCCTAGAGAGACTCAACTCACTGCCATCAAGTGGACGCAACTCACAGCGACCCTACAGGACAGGGTAAAACTGCTCCCAGGAGTTTCTGAGACTAACTTTTTACGGGAGTAGAAAGCCCGGTCTTTCTCCCAAGCAGCAGCTGGTGGTTTCAAACTGATGACCTTAAGATTAGCAGACTAACATATAACCACTATGCCACCAGGGCTCCATTGCAAAGTACAAGCATCATGTAAACATGAGCTGACATTCTGACTGCTGACCCTCAAGCCACTTAGGAGGACCCAACCAAGGATCCCCGTTGGCGTAGTGGGCTACTAATCACAAGGTCAGCAGTTCAATGGCACCAGCGGCTCTGATAGAGAAAGAGGAGGCTGCCTGCTCTCGTAAAAACCTATAGCCTCAGAAACCCCGGGGAGCAGTTCACTCTGTCCTATCGGGTCACTGTGTGTCAGAATGGATTCAGTGGTGGTTAAAGTATTGTGTTGTGTTGTATTTGGCGGGGGTGGGGTGGGGGTGGGGTATGTGTGTGTATGTAGAATCCAGCCATACATTTTGGTTCATAGCATTAAAAAAAAATTAGAAGTTAAAACAAACAAACAATCCAACGACACTGTAATCAAGTCAACCCTGTCTTCTGGCAGCTCTAAGCATGCCCAAGTAGACCTGCGAAGCCACAGGGGGTTGGCTGTGATCTTTATGGAAGCGGATCACCACTCCTTTCTTCCTCCACGCGGCTCAGTTGGGTTCCAGCAGTCAACCTTTACCATTCAGAGTCCAGCACAAACCTTCTGTGCTACCAAGCAACCTCGGGTTCAAAAGGAAAAATCCCAGCCCATCGCCACTGAGTTCATTGCGACTCATCACGAACCACACAAAGCGTTTCACAGACTGTATGCCTTTTGGGGAGCC